GTATGCCCTAAGTATAGCAACTTTTTCTGTCCGTACTAGTTGAAGTTACTTGCACAGCCCTGTTTTCAATGAATACATACATATTTGTATGTACGGTAAAGTACAAGTGCAAGAAGGTCAGTAGTCATTTTCAATCATTAATGAGCACAAGCCTTCCATATGCCGAAAACTTATTATGGAACAAAAGTAGGCGGCAAAATATTGAACTCTCACTTTTCGGAGTTATTCACGGAGTACGGAGTATGTTCTACGTTGATGTTAATGGTGCCAGCGAAGACCCCTAGCCAACTCACCTGTCCTGCATATCCTTTGGCATGGATCTCTTGTTGTGGAGTTGCCTGTCCTTTGTACGGGAGCAGGCCTTCAAGGAGTAACGGCATTCAGTTGGTAGCCCAACTCTGGAAATCAAATTTTGCAGCTATTTTGGTAAGAGAGCTGTCCTGCATTAACCAGAGCCTGTTCTCTTTTCAGTCCCTGAGGATACGGATTCCCAAAACCAGTTCAGTTCCCACATATCTTGAAGTTCGAAAGTGGTGAGAAATGCAGTTTTGAAGTCTTCAAACTGAGCCTTATCTTTTCAGTGGTAGAGATCGATAATATCATCAACGTAGTAGAAGACGGTAAGGTAATTGTTTTATATAGGTATGGTTCTTCTTTGACTGGTTGTAGGCCTGGCTGGGCCAGGCGAGAGCTGAGTTCCTTGCTCCATAGGAGGAGGGGTTCTGGTAATCCATATAGTGCCCGTTTAAGATGAAGATTGGAACCTGGCTGTTCGTAGCCAAGTGGCGGCTGTACTATGACTGGTGTATCTAGGCGGGCATTAAGGAAGGTGTTGACTGCGTCAAATTGGTGTGCCTCCAGGTCAAATGCCGCGGTGAGTGCCATCAGCATACAGAATATCTTGATTACCAAGGTGGACGAGTATATCTCAGATGTTTCATTTCTCCAAAGATTGTCCCGGATGACTAATCTCACTTTGTATTTGGTGATAGCCGTCTCTATTGAAATTGTAGGTAAATACCCACATAAGGGGTAGTGCTTCTTGATCTGGATCCTGGGCTATCTCACCCCAACTACTCTTTGTGAACATGGTGTTGTATTCAATGTCTGCTGCAGCTAGCCAACCTTTCCAGTGTGGATGTCAAAGCATATCATACCAATGGCATGGTTCCTTTGGTAGAGAATCTTGGTGCATTGAAATGTTCAGTAGATTGACTGAGAAGTTCATCAATGGGGAATCCCTGGCCTGAGATGATTAATAGTTTAGTCCTGCTGAGAACGCCATGTAGAATCCAGGGCGTTTGTATGAGTATTCAAGACTCAGCGTGCAGGTGTTTGCCCGCTCTGTATTTGGGTGTCTTTGACATATTCCTGTCACTATGTTAAAAGGACTAATTTCACTTGAAATTTCGTGATTTGTGCCATTCCAGGCTGACAGGTCATTGAGGGATTGCAATAACTGATCTGACGGCTCATCTAGTTTAGGTATCCCCATATTCAGGGTAGTGAAGCCGTCGTTGTTGGCGCTGTCCGGGCTACTCAGCATACCGGGTGGTGTAGGCGTTGGATCCGGCGTAATCAGACCGGGTGCTTGGTTTGTAGAATCCTGACTTTCAGGGGTGTTTTTTGATTTTTCAGCCGAGTTCTCGGAATCCGACGGTGGATTCAGTGATGGGTCTGATGGTATGAAAGGTGGTCTCGGTAGTTATTGATAAATTCCGCCATGGTGATCATTGGCTTGTTTTTACGGTTCCGTTTGACAATGCTGGTCCACTCAATCTCAGCAAACATAGGGTCAATGCCTTTGACAGAGTTGATGAATCGATGTAGGTTATCTTTGACATTTGTGAGTGACTTGATGTCTAATTGAATGATCTTTTTGTGACAGATCTCCCAGTCACGGATCCATTTGGTAATATATTGGTTCTTCGGGCCCAAGCAGAGAGATTTGAATTCGATTTTGATATCATGCTGACGTTGCTGAGTAGTCAGTGCGATCGCCTCTTTGAGGGCGAGGATGATATCTCTAGGGGTGTCTTTTCCTTTGGTAATGGTGTAGACATCTCTTGAAAGGCGTTCCATGATGAAGGGCATGCATCTGTTTCTTGATCTTTTGTAGTCGTTGTACGCCTTGACTTTTGTCTGATGCTCGTATACGATGGTGCTGTGCATATAAACAAGAACTGAATCCGCAGGTGTA